ATGACAGTACTTTTTTTATACTCCGTGAAACAATATATATTAGAAAAAAATAGTTTGTTAAAAACGTGCGCCCGAAAGATTTCCATAATCGACAAGGTTCAAGCGCACACGCTCAACTATAAAGATAAAAAATTCCAACGATCTCAGCTTTCCGTGCAAGCAAAAGACAGTACTTTTGTACTTTAACGAACGCCCCAGATTAAAAAAAAAAAAGTTAGATAATCATTACCTCGGAAACCCACCGTTTACTGCAAAGACTGCGCGCGCACGCGAACAAATTAAAATTCCTGCCGAGAAACTTGGGGACTTGTGTAAACAAATGACAGTAGTTTTACACTTTGTGGAACGTTACACGTTAGAGGAAGAATAATTTGTTGAAAACGAGTGTCTGGAAGATCTCCATAATGGACAAAGTTCAATAATTTCGCACAATTTTATTGTTTTTTGCATATTCTTGTTCTTTACCGAAGTTAAAAAGTGGAAGAACTCTATTTAGTTCAGAAACGGCGGTTAGATTACAAAACTGGTTTTATACTTTAGCGAATAATCAGCCAACGAACAAGCTAGGAAATTTAATCTAACCTGTACCAGCTGGTTATTAGCTTTTGATTCGGGTCGACTGGATACGTTTCTACTCGGACACACGTCGAGACGGATTCTTTTTCGTCGTTCCAGCGGAAATGGCGTGTTCGAAATGCAACGTGTTGATCGCACATCGCACGTACGCTACCAGAAATACGCGAGATAATTTAATTTGATATAATATTAACACGTTTATAGGAATATATGCGCGCGCGAGTATTTGTGTCGTTAGAATACGATGGAAACACTCGTTCACCGGAAAACGCGTGTCACAGTTAATGAAAATTAAATTACAGAAACACGAATTCACATCGCAAATTTGACGTTACAACAAATTTACGTCCGGCAACAAGAAAATCACGATGTTACGGTACGCAGATTAATCGCGCGCGCTCGCGATCGAAACGTGCTGGTTGTTTCCGCGCCGCGAATAGTGAAAATAGCGATGGAAATATACCACTCAATAGGTTCTTCCGAAGTATATCGCCATTATCGTTACATTCCCTATGCGTCTGTTGGCTAACTGCGAAGTATATGCGCGTATTTCCTAAACGACCGCGTACGGTCTTTATTCCACCTCTGCCCGCCGCTGCCGCGCGATACCATATTTCTAAAGAAAAAATGTCTAGAGTAAAAGTTTCGCGAAACGAAACGTTTTACGGGACATTTGGGCTTTTCACTTATAGTTTCGTGCGCTCATCATTTCGCAGCCAGGAAATTACGTGCCGTGTACGTACAAGCTGCGCCATGCGGAGCGACCAGTGCGAAAAAGAAGATAAAGAAAAAAAATAAGCGACACGCGAAAACCGAGCCGGGTAATTTACCGTTTAATGTTGCAGTTGAGCATCGAGCAAATTCGGATTTTAATTTTATATTTTACAAACTGATATAATTATAATATTTGCGTTATAACCGACGGTGACAAATTAGCATTGATTCATTAGCGGTTGATATTAATCATGCGCTGATCTTTATTCATATTGATATAATGAATACTACTGCGGTACATTGCGACTGGTCAACCTGCACTACTTGTCGGGTCGTGAACGATTTTACTACTATCGCACGGAATTGAAACATGGTTACACGGTAAATGCCGTATTTCGTCTCTAAAATATACGTACATCTCGTCGTCTCGTATATAAACGAGCTCTTCTTAAGGTCTCATTAGATTAACGACACTTCGCCTCGTTAAGGAAAATGTTCGTTGTTAATTTCTCTCACTTACGTTCGTTGTACGGATCATTCCCGATGCAGACGCGTATTCCCTTAAGAGTGTACTTCGCGTTGTATCTCATGATCTTTTTATAGATATTAAAGATTACTCCGGGAAGATCCTGAGACGAAAGCTCCCGAAGCTGTACTCAAAGCCATTGTCTTCTGTATTACACGGCGCAAACACGAAAACTTCTCAACCCCGCTCGCTATAATATGTACACTCTCGTTCGCCGAACTTTTCCCCGTATCCGTTCAAGTGTTTCGCATTGCCCCTCGCTGTTATTTTGTAAACGATCCAGTCGACTGATTGCGAGACTTGTTAGACAAAAATTGTCTCGCAATCGCCGATACGTTTCTGAGAGTCTACCGATATATTCAATAATATTTTTCATTGCTTCTCTTGATGATAATTTCACGAAATATATTTCATCGCGTCAATTTGTGCCTTTACTTCAAACGTAAATTACAGGTGAAATAATTATATTATAAAAAATTTAAACTAAATTATATTTAATTTAAAATTTATTTAATTATAAACAATTATATTATAAAAAATTTATTAAATCACTCAAGATCATCGTCGTTAAAATTACCACGTGTATACAACTAAATGACTAAAGCTAAATAATATAAAAATATTGCATTTTATATAAGATTAGGAAATACGTGAATATATTATCAATTTGTTGCAATTAATTTGGTTAATCAATGTATTGCTAAATATTTAATAAAGCATATATTGTTTTATCACGGAAGGTACACAACTCTTGGGTTAAAAACGGTCCACTAAAATTGTATGTTACTCGGACAAAGGAAATATGTTAAAAAGCACACAAATTTGTAATAAGAAGTACACAAATATAATATTAAATTCATATATTCACCTTGTCAACATGTTAACGAGATAAATGACATAAAATTTCAGTGGGTTCTTTTCAACACAAATTTTTTTACTTGTAGTTTTTCGTTAAAAACAAAGCTATTTTTCGCGATCAATTACCGTAATGCGTGCGCATATTGATCAAATGTTTCCTCTCTTTTCCTCTTTTAAACAGTTTTTTGTAGAGCAGCATCGTTATTTACTTTCGCAGATATATTAAAAAAAATAAAACGTAGATTGCATGAAATAATGGAATAATCAGTGCATCTTTAATGACAAGATTTAAAATAGCGTAAACAATCGACATGTTCATCAAGTGTGGATATCCATCAATTGTAAATTGATACACACGTATGTCGATAAAAATTCGATAACTATCGACCGTGAAAATGCTGCACGAGTCATTTCGGAAATTGACCTACCATGGTTTAGGATGTAACGGTTTCAATTTTACGTTTTTAGCAATGTTGGAAGCAAAAAATTAAAAAAAAAAGAGACATTTCCACGCTTACGACGAATCCCATACATAACACGGTGCGTGACATAAAATATGACACTTCTCGTAAATTGAAACACGCACTTTTATCTCGTTCGAGTCTTGTTAACAATACACCATTTAAATGAAAACGGAATTTGGAAAATAATATATTTACAGTTTCCAACAGTGTTATCAGATTTATCTCTGCACGGCTGGTATAGAGAAAAAACAGTTGATATTTTTAAGCATGTAACGCGACAGATGAAATCTGCGACACGGAGGCCCCCGCAGCGTATAAACAAGCAAACTATATTAAAATAAAAAACGGGTGTTTCTCGTTCTCCGCTAAACTCGGTTACGGATAAATTTCATAATACATTTTGATCCGCGTCGGTCCGGCATATACGAAATGTTTGATCGAAGGGAGAAAAAATCCTCTCGTCGAAAAGAGAATGCAGATTGGAGCGGTTTACTGCTCAACATTCCCGTGTCGCGTCCGAAACTTTGGCGCTATCGCGCTAAAATGAACCAGTTACCAAGCCGTATTTCTTGCGCCTGAATTGTAGTCTTTTTCAGCCGGCAAAACTGTGACACACCTTTGTTCGGGAGGAGTGATTTAACGCTGTCAGCGGTGCCCTCGAAAAAGCCACCTGGATTTACCGTGTGTATGCGGTAAACAATGAGATGACTGTGGTTTACGCGCGGCAGGCGCGGCGCGGCGCGTCACTGCAAAAGCTATCACGGACCTCAAGAATGTAAAATGCGCTGCGACGAAGTTACCATGCTTTCTAGCAAAAATTACTCGAACCTTGTTACCGCAACAGGTTGTCGTCATTGGTCTATGCGAAGGCGTGTGCAGCTGCACGCCGTCGTCGTCGACGTCGCCGCGGCTGAAACGCGATGTTTTGTCGCCCGCTCTTAAATGTGTAGCGTAACAAATACGACGGAGTCCTTAGTGTTGTCTTCCCTTGAGCATAATTCTAGACTCAGTATTTACTGGCCACCCGTAGAATTCTAGACACGGCCGAAATCTCGACGAAGTTCGAAGATACGCAAGAAGCTCAAAATCGAAACTCCCCGAAGAACCAAGACCGCCAAATTCCGTAGCAGCTGCGGAAACTAACGAGTTATTATCGTCCTATCCGAAATGGAACTTTTTTTCATCTCCGATTTCGTCCTCGAGCGCCGATTTTTCATCGTAAAATCACCAAGCTCACTTCACCTTAGAACTTCCTTTAAAATAGAATAATTTTCTATCCACGCCCTGAATTATTATCAAACTTTTGCTGTATCTTCAAACGCGACGTAGATCAATTTGTAATTTTTTCACATTTCTCTCACTACTTTAAATTATGGGCAATACATTAAAACTTACGGCACCCCGAACCAGGATTTTGCATGTAATTCGGAATTTCATTCCCGTAAAAAGAATTACAGTTTTCGCAAAGATACGATCCGACTGAAATTGTACTAATACACTTCCGAAGTTCGACTTCATCCCGGCACGATTACTTTTTCACCCGCTATAAATATTCCGGCTCGTGCGCAGCCATGATCAAATCGGCAGGACTCGCGCTGGGTCGTGTCGCGTTTCTGCGAGAAAATTCTCGCGAGTTCATCGTCAATCAGTCGCGCGTGTCGGAATTTCATCGATATAGTCGGGTTCTTATGCAAGCGACGAACCAAACTAATGCTCGATGTCCGCATAGAAAGAGATCGGATGTCTCAAAGAAAAACGATCCCTCCGAGGAGGAAGTTCGATCTCGCATTTGCTCGCGCACGCTCGCGTATATATTCGCGCGGCATACGTGTGCACGTACGCATATAGATAAGAGTACTTACAAGGACGGCATTTGTAGGCAACTTCGATGTATTTCCGTAGCCCGGGGCAAGGATCACCCTGGAAGGTATTCGGGCTGGTGTTGAACTTGCACTGCCGCTTCTTCTGGCAGACCTCGACCACCGTCTGCAACAGTGAGTGCTAACACGTCATTCAGAAGACCCGCTCACTTTGCGATGGTGACCGACGGTAATTGCAAAAGAGAAACCAGTGCTTTATTTAACCGAACCTCGAGACGGAGCATCGTGACACAACAAATCTCGCGGATACGGGATTTTGCATTTTATCGTTGCGTTGAATCCCCTCGCTTTTACGATGCATCGAAATGCTCGTCGGGAAATATCAAATAGGAAAAAGTGAAAATACATCGAGTGAAAAAACAAATTGACGTTTCAAGAATTTTATTTTTCGTTATTACAAATACCCCCCCGGAAATATAATACACAAGTGAATTATATAGATGAGTGAGATAGGAGCAAATCTGCAACGACAGAGATTAATATAATAACGGAGGCAAGCAGAAATGGTCCCCACAATCCAGCTCGATGGCGCTTTGAAGTCGTGACTCAAAATTACCCTTTGCCACGGTTATTGCAATTGCTGCGAAGGATATACATCCTGCTGAAAAAAAGGACGGTCGCTGCGCGACGGAGCTGGGCAAACTGCTTCAGCCGAACCGAGCCGGCTTTTGCGCGAAATAACGACTTAATTTCGCGGTTTCAACCCTTTCCCGCTGACGAGTTCGAGCTTAAATAAAATTATTTCTGCTCTTTTTTCTTTCTCTTTTTACCGACGAAAAGCTTACGGAGAGAGGCGGGGCTAATATCGTCGAGGTTAATTTCCGTACGCGATTCGAAAGGACGGCGCGGGCAGGTCAATATTTGCAGGGCGGGAACAAATCGACAAAGGTGAGCGGCGATTTGCCGACGCGAAAATACGCGAATGAAAAGATATAAATCTCTTTTTTCTCGCTTTTAACTCTCGCTTTTAATATCACGTTACAAGGTATGCGCGTTGGATAGATAGCCGGAGATAGCAAGTGCCGGAACGACGAAGAATCACGAAACGCTTTCGTAAAAAGTACGATAAAAAACAACTTGTTCCACAGTGTTTCAACTTCCGTGGCGAAGTATTTTCGACGTAAACGGGATACGCGACAGTTCGATTTCGCGGAAAGCGAGGCGGAAGAAGCGAGATCGCAAACAGTCGCACAAGGCAAGTAGAATATCGACTGTTTTATTAAAAAAAAAAAAAAAATGTTCCATCTCGATACAGCGCGGAGCATGTATACAACTGTTTACAGCTGTTACAGAGACATCCTGTAGGAACGTCCGAGTTTCGCGTTCCTCGGAAGTCATTGGCTATCCGACAGTGCCGTCGGTGATATCCGCACATTGTCGAGGATTCCTAGGATTCCATTTTCAATCGGCTAATTGCGTGCAAGGACTTGCGTTACACGGCACCGTTCGAGCTTGATTACGTTAAGCGCAATTTAACCGTGTCACGCGAGCGCATCTTAATGAGGCGAATGGAAGTTTTAATCGCGACAGGACGCAATTAGACCCCATCCAAATGGTTAAATTAAAAAGAAAAAATTGAAACGCAATTGATATAATCTTTTACGTACGCTATTATGAGCAACATGTGGTTTTGCATTTGTCATATCCGTTATTACACATTATAAAGTTATAAAAGCAAGAACATCAGTAATGCAATTGATATACTCAGATGTTTATGGGGAATTAATATTCATAAACTGCATCCTAAATTAATAACGATTTTAAAGAGATTGTAAAGCTCAGTATTGTATTTTCGGTGGCGTATTTCAAGGGAACCATTCATAAATTTAGTATACATCAAGCAAAATTATATTCCTAAATATTGATTTTACTACCTAAATAATAAGTTAATTTGAGATGAAATTGAGGTAATAATATATACACAATATTACGAATACGAAAATATTGTTTTTTTATTTTTTTCTATTAACGCTATATTTATTCATATTTATTTATTTAGCCATATTCATTCAATTGATCTAATAAAAATGCAAACATAATACTTTACAATTATGAATTGTCTTCTTAATCTAACAAATTAAAAAAATATATTTAACAAAATATATTTCTTTTATTTAAAGAATTATTTTTTTCAGTATATATAGAATTTATTATCAGATATAACGTGTGCGCTATAAACGTTATAATCGATAAGGTTGTTTTATGCTATTAAACCGAACTTGTTTTATTTCTAACAAAATAAATTCTTGTATTTTATCAGAATTATGTATATTTCACAGAAATATAAAGATATTTCTGTGAAATATAAAGATATTTCTGTGAAATATACTCTACTTTCCATCAAACATATCTAATTTCGTTAGAAACAAAAAATTTTTTTCCAGTGTAAAAGTCTTGGTAACATTGCCCCAAATATCCAATGATTTTCTGAAGGTTTTAAAAAATTGAAGGAACTTAGAATATCCGCAAAAATCATTCCTTTATTCATTATAAACAAGAAGACAAATATTAGAAGTAATAGTGACTAATAGTTTCTCGAAAATTTAATCTAACAAGTAGGAAAACATTAAATTTTAGGTCAAAATTACTCCATCTCACGGCGCTTGATCTTAATTTTGAATATCCCCGACCAAATTCCGCTAACACTCCACCTCTTCGCGTTTCGGTAAATTCACGTCAATACAGTAATAGAATCACAATAGGATACTTCGAAACCTACGATTAGAGTTTACATTAATGTGTAAACATTTCGATTTCGGATCGTGAGCTTTAGTTACGGCAATTATAATAGCTCCGTTTGCCTTGTGTTCCATGTACGATAATTGAAAATCGATTAATATCACGCGCGGCGAGCATTCAGAAAAAAATATTCGCCGATCGTCGCGATATCCCTTCTTTCGGGATGAAGGCAAGACTTTGTCATCTGTGTCGCGGAGAATGTGTGAAAATTACATTTCCGGGTTTCAAGCTGCTATTCTCAATACGTTCGCGTTGAGATACGTTCACGCATGTCGCTTGATCGCGTGTATGTGCGCGTGTGTTTGTGTTGTCTCCGCATACATACAATATCCATCTAATTATCGGCTTTCGGAGTTTCCGTCTTGGGCTATTCTCCCGTATTTCACGTGCACGCCACCGAGGAGGCCCCTACGGGAGAAATCGATTTTCCGCGAGCGCGTCGATAACATTCCGGCCGGTTTTCATGTCGTCCGTCGCTGTATAAACGTTTACCGTTCCATCGTGCAATTTTGCCCCGGGGGTCGAAGTCGGGACGTGTAATTCCCTTAAACCGTTACGTTCCTCTTGTTGTAAGGCACCGATATCGCAAACCGAGGGCTAATCACGGCGCGAACAGCAAACCCACCATGCGCTCAGTCCGCTCGCACAAGTAAACATCTACGAATGCCGTTTGATATGGGACGATTTTATTGTTAACGCGCGACCCGTTCGATCGGTTTCGACACAGGCCGCGTTTCATGAAGAAAGAACAAAGAGACGGCAGACTGGCTTGTTACTCGCGCGTGCCAATTATTTATACGACACGCACATAAAGACGCGATCTTTACAGCGCGCGTAGCGCACTAAAAATACAATACAAAGAGCCACTAAACCGGCGTAAGTCCGCGGGCGATAAAATCGAACTATAAACCGAAGGATCAACATATCGCGTCTCGCTCTTTAGAATAGTTACACACACACAGGCGCGCACACACGTTCGACTCACCCTGAGAAAACCCGAGCCATAAAACGACCGCGAGTTACTCCCCCTTTCCCTACATCTTGCAGCCACCCTCCTGGCGAGTCGATTCTCCCGCTTCTTATCCAGTCGCTCCTTCGAAAATAAATACACTCACCCACCGGATCCTAGTTATCGACATTTGCTCGTACACCTCATTCGCTGATCCTCTCGCGGGTCCTCGCAATTTCCACGCGTTCCTACGTGTCCTCGGGAACGCGAGTAAGTGACGCTTTTATCCCGACGAGTCGCGACTTTAAATTCCACCCTCTTTATGGAAGCAACGACGTATGTCGCCGAGAAGTTGCGCGTACGGGGAGAGGGAGGGGAGGGTAAGCACTCACGCGGAAAAGCCCTTTCGCGAGATTCGAACCGCTCGGCGTCGCACGGAGCCACTTTCGAGTCGAACCCTTCTTATGGTCCTACCGGGAATACGTTCATTCAGGGATACGCGTTTCCCGGCTTTGGAAATTCCTTCCTGCAGCTGCACCCGGCGGAGGGAAGTACCGCCGCGCGCTGATTCGTTCCCGTCGGTGGCGTACCCGGTAACGCTTCCGGAAGAATCGTCGAGGAAACAGGAGCGTCACCGAGCGACAAGGAATTCCTCATGTGCGTTCGGCGCAATGACGCGAGCGTGTTCGCATTCTCGCGATGCCATTTCGAGCGGATCCTATACCTCTCCCTTCCCCATCCCCCTCCTCTTCCGCCGATTCCTACCTGCTAAATATAGGTACATCGATATAGGACGCCATGCCGGAACTGCCGGAACTGTATTGTGTGTAGAATGTTCACTCCGCCGCTCCGATATCGAGCGTCTTACGCCGCCGATGGGACCGGAAATATTAATGCAAAACACGGAAGACCATTTCGACCGCGCTCGATGGCGCGGGAAACGAAATTGGGCTTTACCCGCCGCTGAAAAATATCATCCGCGTGGTTGGTTTACTCGCTGCCACGTTCGATCACGCGATGTTGCATTTCGTACACTACGTAAAGAGCCGCTCGACAATTGCGTCACGCGAAACTTGAGCATCACCTATCGTCGTTCTGCCTTTCGTCATATTTCGTCGCAAGGTACGTGATATGAGATAATTTTTATCCATATCGCTAAACTCGGAAACAACAGAACAGTATTAGACGGTATGCGTCTAATTTTTTTATTACTGGGATAGCTAGGATTAATTTATAAAACGTATATGATATAACACATAGAGATTAGGTAGACGAAAAAGTTGATAAAAAATAATAATTTGCCTGTGTATTTTTTTTTTTTAGATAAACACCCAAATGGTAGAAAACAGGCCGAGAGAGATAATAAAAAAATACCACGTCGAAACTAAAAAAATGTTCACCAAATGTGACCAAATATATTACGAGTGCAAACAATGTCGATAACCGCACGGAAACCTGTCCTTCCGTAGCGATATGACGTAATTGTTTAATGGCTCCTAATTAGACGCAAGTAAATTTTTGACGAAGTCGCACGCTTCAGAGAAAATTTCGTTCTCAGTTCGATCAAATCTCAAGTCAAATCTCAAAATGCGATTTTTCATGACCGCTTGAGTCGCTGCTTAAAGTGATTAGATTTATATGTTAAAACGAGTAGATTGAAATTCCATCTGAACTCTTGCGTTCAAGTGAAAGGCGGCGAATGACAAATGAAAGTGCTTCGGAAGCCCATAAATCGTTCGGGAGGAGCTAATACGATCGTAGGTTAGCCCAATATGAGAATACACTAAATAAATTACGCACGCTACGCTGTAGGATTGTTTTATGGATCGACCTTTTGTTAACAGACCAAATAAATCGTTCGGGAAGAAGATTTCTCCATGATATCTGACCCCCTGAACTATCGACCATTATTGGCGTTCCCTCCGCGATATACGTCGCTACGCTACCGTGCGGGCGAATGCCCGACGTCCGCTTTCTTGATTTGAATCTTCGCCTCCTGCTGAATCGCATTATCGAAAACTGGAACGCGATGAATATACCGATAACCGTTATAACATTTCGCTAAAGGAATTACGCAGCATGCTGTATAATTTCCATCTTGAAGAGTAAGCATGATTGGACGAATCGTGTATATCCATGGAAAAAAATATCGCATGCGTACTGACAGAGATAGACTGAGAGAGAAAAAGAGAAAAAGAAAGAGAGAAAAGGAGAAAGAAACAGAGAGAGAGAAAGAGAAAGAGAGAGAGAAGAAAGGAGCAAACGCGAGGATCTCATGGAAAGCAAGATCCACAGGAGAGGATAAGATCGTCGGGCGAAATAAAAGAGTTACTCCATTTTCGCATGCGGGCAGGATCATACGTACAATGGTTCCTTTCTCAGTCGGCGGGGTATGATATATTAAATCGATATGCGGACTCGAGAACCAGAAACCGATGGACGCACAGTTGGGGATTTTATTGTACGCCGAAGGAAAATTATTGCGCCGCAATGCCGTAGTAAATAACACCACGTTTTAGCGAAGGTGGCATAAAAGGCTGGGAGTGCTCGGAAACGTCAAGGGAATGCGTGGATCCCTATGTGGAAGCTCTGTGTGTTCTTCTCGGTGGAACCCTCCCGAGTGTGCATGTCTCTTAACCTCGTAAATATACATTCGACGTTTCCGCAGGAAGGTGCTCTTTCGCGCACCGAGGGACTGCAGGACTCAGGAGAGATCGTTACTAATTTCCGCGTTCGATTTTCGCTTAGGTAACGTTAAACGTCGCGACTTTCATAGGGGAGTAATTTAATATCGAAAGGAGAGAGAGAGAGAGAGAGAGGTCAATTTGGGGTGCCGTACTTTAAGAACATGTTACTCATCACCGGCAACCTCGTTACACCGCCGGGGTAGCTTCCTCTCTCTCTCTCTCTCTCTCTCTTCTTTTTGGCCCGCGGGGCTTCAAACGAATTTGTCAGTTGCATGCTCCGCGAAACACAGAGGTGCTGTTTTCGGGTCAGTTGCCATTATTTCGCGAGCCAAGATTTTAGAGCAGACGCGGGAGTACTCGTATCTCTTTTTCCGCCTTTGCGCGGTATCCATAATTGCCAGTGAATTAAGCTCAAAGAAAACAAGTTTTCGTGCGGGCGCATTCTCCGCGGACTTTTCTCGCGGAGTTTATTCCGCCGGTGCATTCCTGTTGAGGGAATAAATCGCGCGCCCGATACTTTCTCCACTCCTCCTCCTCTTCCTCTTCCCGGCTTCCCGTCTCGATTAACATTCTAGCAAAAATCTCGCCGCCGAGCTCCTTTCCCCTGATGTCCGCCGTAACGTTTGAGTCGCGCGCTTCCATCGCCTTTCGCGCAATTGCTTCTTTCCCGTTTAAATCAAACTTACCGACATTTCGCAAAAGAAGAAACGAAAATCGCGCTGAAAAGAAGTAAAAAAAAATATATATATATATGAAACACCCTTTGAATTAGAATTCTGAAAAAAAATGACGCATCTAATCTCTTTTACACGTTATATCCATCGCGCTGATATTTATACAAGCAACATGGATCATCGCATATTCAACGTCTTTTTTGCATCTCAGAGAAAACTTTGTGAAGGGCAAAATTGGCGACGAGACAAATATGGTATGAATAACGATTTCAAGTGCCTGGGCCGAGAGAGCATCACGGGAGGGTTTCGTTAAAAGTTCCGCCGAGGAAAAAAGAAGAAACGCTCTCGGAGAGTCTCGAGACTCTTGGAGAGCGCGGGAATTGAGCGTGAGCGGGGAGGACCGTCGAAAATGATCGCGATAGGGGAAGATTGCGGCCATTTCGATTTTGTGTAAAATCTTTCGAAAGATAAGAACGACCAAACTCCGATTCATACTCAGAGCTCACGCAGGGTTTACGAGGCTTGAAGCGTACGAAGGTTAACCCCAGAAGGGGTGGATCCGGTTTACGATTCTTTCCGCTTCGGTGCTCACGCGAGATAGAACGAGAAAGACGAGAAAATGAGAGAGAGAGAGAGAGAGAGAGAGAGGGTGAAAAGCGGAAGGGGGAATACATCATCTACGTCCTCCTCTGGATTAGAAAACGGGAGTTTGCTAGAAGTCAATAAATGTAAGACGTTGAATAAAGTTTGAGAAGAGCGGAGAGGACGGGACGAAAACGTTGTCGCGGAAATCGAGCAGGCGTAAACGACGATGGCGCGCGCAAAAACTCCTCCCGACTATATCTCGGCGAGGATGAGCGATCGCGATGTCAGTTATTAAACGGAGATAACGTAGCCTATATTTGATCGGCGCGCGCGTCCGGATTCTTTGAAACTTCCAAATTTAGGCGGTCCCGGATTGAACGAGTTTAGACTCGAGAAACTTCCTTCCGGCAGCTGAAGAGGCAAAATCGGGAGATAATCGGAATCTAAAGTACGTCCAAATATTAAACTTTCCGCGGAAGGGAAGGATTGTGTCTCACCAAGTTTTGCGAATTTGCAAAGTTTGTACGCTACGTTATTACACGAGAAATACCGCCTCTGTGATCCGTCTTTTAACTTATCGCTAAAAGAACACGTCACATCGAACGATTCTTGTTCCGAGCATTCATACGATCGTTCGGCATTACTATATCGCGACATAGTGTGAACAGTATGTGTACATGAGTGTAGACAGGGTGAAGTAGGAAGGGCACTTGGTCCTCCCTCCCCCTCAGACTTTCACAAAGAGAAATAATTAAATTATGAAAATCATGGAGGTAAAGAAATGCAACTGATGCATTCCACAAAGAAGCTACAGTACATATTTTGTAATGAAAAACCAATGATAAAGTATTAGCAATGCTTTATGAAAGTGATTATAGTGAAAGTTTCTCAATTTCATCACCAAACGTCCGTGACTGTATTGTCTGCAGTGATTTTAGTGTATATATATCAGTTAAGGAGAAAAATAATTTTGCTATTGTAACAAAACTATTGTTAACTACTGCCTTAGTTACGGCAGCAATAAAATTCAGTTGGCGTAACCAAATTAGCGAATCATTCGTAATTGGAGCAAAAGTAATTTCGTCACCAGAATAAAGAATATTCTATTGCGTAAATTTGACCTTAGAACCGGTTGATTCGTTGTTAGAACGAAAATCTTCTACATTTACCAATTTGTTCTTACAACAAAATCATTTGTAGATTCAGCAAAATATTCCAGCGAATGGCATTTAATACTCTTAATAAATCGTTCTACTCTCCAAATAGTAACTGACAAAATTTGCTAGATAAATTTTCAGTGGCAGCACATTATTTTCTCCGTGTGGAAAGGGTGTAATTTCAGACGTGCGTGCACAAAGAAAAAAATATAGAAAATCGAGATTCCGTTTTCCGAGGAACGGTTCGAAAATCATTCGAGGACACAACAACTTTCCTCGTGTTCCATTTTCAATTTGTCCACGTACATCCGTTTATGATTTCTACATTTCACCGTTGCGTTAACTAAAGCGACAAATATAAATATTTCGGTTTCGCGCGCGGTGGTGATTTTTAATAAATTTGAAAACCGCAGGCGCGCTCGCGCGTTGCCCGATCGATGCCTACCTGGGCGAAATGAGAATTTCATTGGCACATACCTGCAGTGATTGCGGCCAGATGCATGTATGATTCGTCGATATGTCCCCCGCGATCATCGGAGGAACGGGCGAGTTGCATTTGCTGATGCCGTACATTCCCGCTCTTCCATATTGAGCGTGTTCGATAGAGATGGTCGTGCCGGGTGGGCATTTCAATGTCATCGTTTCCTCGTCGCAGGCCGCGCGCTGATAGGTCTTCAGAGTGCCTGACAACAAGGCTGTCGAGTTAAAAAAAAAACAACACGTACGCCGCACGACCGACATAAAAATAGAACCAACCGATCGGCGGTAAACCGTGTGTGCAGAGTTGACGTTTTCGAAAGTGATATTTGGAATTATTAACGCGAACATACGTACACCACGAGATCGACGAAACGTTAATTAAACAAACGGCGCAAAAAGCGCGCCGTAATCGGCGAGAGACCGGAGGGTAATGCGAAAGCCATGCATAAGTGACGCGAGCGCGCGGGAAAGAAAACGCGAGCGGAGAGGTTGTCGAGTATCGAAGATCGATGGATGAGCCGGTAATGGCGTCGCCGCCGCAACAGTGATCAATTTAAGGGGATTGAGAGTAATTAACGAGTGGATCAAGCGGGATTGGTACGGTCGGAGAGGGCACGGATGTATCAATGGCACAAATTCGCCCGCGAAAGCAGCGTCGTTTCGTTTACACACCGGTACGTGCGGTTTAACGTGCCGAGCGGAAGCAGCCGACATTTGTGGAATTTAACGCGGAGATCGTTCGTGACGATGGAGTTTGCGAACGGAACCGCAGACGTTCCAGCGCGTAAATGCAGATTCGCGCGATAATTTCGCGAGTAGCGGCCAATAAAGGACAGCCCAGTGCGCAGAAGTTTCCCGAGGAAATAGCCAAGTGATTGTAACAGTGCATGATAACAACCGGCGCGAGATGCCGAAATGCGATACGCCGGTTCCACGACGTATGTATGTGTGTGTGTGTGTCAGCGTTTTCAATGTCGACAGTGGTGTTATAACACATGCGAGAGAAAGAGAGACGCGTTAACATTAAACCGTCGGTTAAAAGTAATTATCATGCCGAGGGAGAAAGTTTGTTTTCAAGCATGGCCGCGATATTAGCAAAACGGAGCGCAGAGGCATGCCAATGTGTACGCGTCACCATCACCAATGCGTTAATACATCATCGCAGCGGTCATCAGCGTCGTAGTTAAAGAGCCGACGGTCCACCACCACCAATACCATCACCGAGTAGTTATCAGCAACCGTACATGGGACGGGAGTCAGCCAGCCGATGTCCCGGCGAGAAACATGAAAAATAAAGCAGACAGAAGAACCTGTTAGTTACGTCACAAGCAGTTACGTTCAAGACGCGGGATATGTAAATTCTTCAATATTACCTAACGCCAGGCGGGCGGGTGGAATTTCCACGGGAGAGAAGCGAGGTCGATAATTCACGCGCGACGAAGGAACATCTGTCTGACCCGATATTGGTCGTTTCTACTGCGACGCAGCGCTCGAGGTGTAACTCGGCGTCGCCGGTGAAGCGGGGGATGCGCTTTCCAATTTTATCGAGTAAATTTGTAGAACGGAAACAACGACAGATCGAGATCATTTCCGACCGGCGCTGTTGCGCGCTTTTGCCGCGAATGTCACTCTATGCAAATTCTTCTTCCCCGAGGACTGACTTAAAAGCGATATCACTTTACGCTGCCATTTTTGAAACTCGTGTTTACTACGTATTCCTCTCGTTCTTCCTTGTCATTAAACGCAGTTACTTAGCCTCCGGCCGGCAAAGTTTGCCGTCCGTCGAGCGGAAAAGTCTAAGCAGCTAATTATAATTAACTGAACATTTTGTAACTAGTTGAAAATGTTACACACAGTGAATTTTATAAAAAAAAAAGAAAAGAACCGACGCAAAGTATCCAATTGAAAGAGGATAAACATTGTTAAATTTAACGTCGTTAAAAGGACATTGTTATTTCGTTGAAATTAGCATAGAGTTGTGCCTGTTTCATAGACGAGCGCAAATTTCTGTTGACGTTGAATTATCTCACGAAGAACCAAGTCCATGAAAACACGAATTACTATTACGAGTTTGCCTCTACTGCTAAAATGTGTCAACAGCTACAGGCGATATTGTATAATTTGTTGTCTTCCGCATCGACATGGTTCGTAATAATCGTCGAGACGAGACGAGGTCGAGGAAGGGCGAGCGGGCGTTTCCCGACCGTAGTACATCGGTACATCGTCTTGGTAACGACCGTCTTCGTCCCGGTACCTAGGTTATATGCATAAAGCCGAGCACAAAGAGTAATGCATACAAACGATTGTTGTACCGACGATAACAAACCTGGGCCCGCGCGTTACATTCCGTAGCGTTCCGCGTGCACCGTTCGTAAATCAACGACCGCGAGCATGCAAACTGTAAAGCGCGGAACTGCACTGGCAGCTACTTGGGATCTTCGGGGGTCCGCTGTAACCCGACTACGTGATTGGAATGACCGAGCGTCTCGATATGCCCCCGATCTCCGTAGGTGAAGAATACGCGAAGGAGAAGTTTGAATAGTAACGACGCGCATGAGCTCGCGTATCGCGATACCGCGTCGTCCCATTGGGATTTAATCGGATAAGTCGCTCTCACGATTCTTCTTTCCTCGTTCTTCGTTCTACATATATTAAGAAATCCATTTAGCTGAATCAAACAAAGTTCTCGTTTGGATATAGGCGAACAAATATTTTGGTCGTAAAGACCAAGATTTGCTTCTCTGAAACGAAAATGAAAAATGTTCGGTTCGGAAATCTTGGCTCTTATAACCAAGCATTTATCTGCCTATATCCAAATAAGAATTTTGTTTCACTAAATTTTGTTTAAATAATCGGTTTCTCAGTGTAGCAGATACATTGAGGAAAAAATATTAAAAAATTTATTTGTAGGATTTAAGGTTTATTTCGCAGAAATATGGTTCATTTCTGAGATATAAGATTTCTTTTGCAGAAATAAACCTGATATCTCACAAATAAGTTTTTAAGTCTTTTTTCTCAGTGCACTGACGTCCTCTTTTATATTGGTCCATTCAAACAACTAGGTTCTTGCTGGTTACTACCGCAAAAAGAAATATCAAAAGGAAGTTCAGGGAAGAATTGAATAATAAGACTTGAAAAATTTTTAGAATTTTAAAAATTTCGATTTGCATCGCTTATTTATACATCAAAAGAAGGATTTGGTAATAAGTATTAAAATTTGGTGAATATTTGCCGACTAAACATTTGATTACTGTAAACCAGATAATTTAGGTCTGTATACTGTATATACATTGCTGTAGTTCCATCTATTTAGTATACAGAACTAAATTATTTAGTTGCAATAATCAAATATTTGGTCGGCAAATATTCACCAAATTGTAGTACTTGTTACCAAATCTTCTTTTCAATATAAAATGTATATGTCACTTCCAAGTTATTTAGTCCTTTAATTACTTTTTGTTTCTTACGTACATGCGGAAAAAAAATTTGGTTAAATTTACTAGACAGTGAGTAAAAAAAACAGAATTTCTAATTCCCATGACCCGAATTTGATTCTTATAACAAGAAATTCTGTTTCTTTAACCAAAATGCGTTTGGTTTACTCACCGTCTAGTAAATTCAACTAAACTTTTCTGTGTAGAAATATGTAAACGCATTTTCGCGTATGACAATGAACGTTTTTTTATTTTTGTCTAATAATATGAAGAAAAATTAAATTCTTTCTCTTTCTTTTCTTTTCTCTTCTAATTAATCTATTGACTAACTTCACGTAATTGCGCTATTTTTATATATTTTCTTGTAAGAGCAATCATGCGCAACATACTATTTCAGTACCCACTCGTTATTCTAATCCACGTCATCAGCGTCTATTCACAGTTACATAATATATGTATATATAAGTATATAAATATATATATAAAAGGAATAAGTAAATATTCTACGCGAGACACTCATACTTGTTACCGAAAGTAGGTTAATGGCCGTCTCGAACACAACACCCTATCCTGATTTATCTTCTATAATTATTATGAGCTCGCGCGCGGAAATTAAACGCCAGAATATCGTGGATTACTCACATTTAATGACATCTGCGCATTAACGTTGTGCTTCATAGCAGATATTAGTGATATATATATATATTAAAAATATTTTTAAAATACTAAAACATGAAGAGACAGCGCGAATTAATAGGTTAATAATTAAATGTATAAATATAATAAATAAAGATATATATATTTCATTATATGGAAAAAGAAAATATTAATGCATACACTGTATCGGTAAAGCATTTCATATTGTATATTAATTACTTATTTTTGCCAGACACAAAGTGCAACTAATATGCGAATTAATGTTATAAAATATAAAAACCTTTACCTCGTCAAAGATGCCTCTGTCAAAATTTCAAAAATCTATAATTATGGCTAATATATATCAGTAACGTATGTCAATAATAAAAAATGAGTGAAGTTTAATATTAAATAAAGTAATACTTTCATCGTACACATAAAACAGTAACTTATTATATATTTCATTTATTACATACATTTATTATATATAATTTATTTATTATATATAATTAGATCTTTTAAAAATATTCCCGGACGATTTTTGCTGCAGCTCGCAATTTGCATATATCGTACTACAACATCGATAAAAAAAACAACGTAACCTTTTTTTATTCGAATTTTTTAATGTATAAACAAGAGTGGATTTATCTGAGGCGATTTCTCTCGCCGAATTCTCTCCAGCAGCATTCGATTTGGCTCTTATCCTACCTTTCAGCGTGCGAGAACATCGCGCGCCCACACTTTTATGGCGACAAGCTGTAGAGTAACTCACGGCTGGAAGTAAATTGTTGTTCTGGTAACGGATGAACGTGGCGGAAGTAGGACGGTAGAACTCGAATGTTTATTCAGTTGCAACCATACGAGCACGACTTCCGCGGGGAACACATTATTTAAAAGGTCCATTTATCCGCTGGATCGTATATCGTGTATCGAATCGAGATAGGAAGAGAGAGAGTGAGAGTGAGAGGACAAAAGCTGGAAAACAACTTGCAAATCTGCAGGTTGACGTGAATAGCATGTCCGTTACAACTATTGGAGTGTTGTTTTACATATGATTCTCGCCTCAATCAAGCATTGCTGTTTCGGTACTTAACCATGCCTCGTTCCAAGAAAACCAATATAATAATGCTATGAACAATAACAAT